ATCTTTGAGTGGAGGAATGGGTTTGGGGTGCGTCTTTAGGACCTTAGCTACCTTCCAGAATGGTCTGGAGCGGTCGTCCAGATTCTGGACAAGCCGCCCGAAACTTTCGTTCTGGAGTGAGACCATTCTGGAAGCAATCTCCTTGTTCAGATCGGCCATTTCACGTCTCCTCGCTACATCTCCGGTTCTCTGGAACTGGCGTCTACGCACATTTCTCAAGCGAATCAGTAATTGGGTGTGGGAATCAATGGCAATAAACTTACCCCTCACAGGAACTCGTCGGACGCACGCCTCGTCAGCCACGGTTATGGCTTGGTGGAGTCCCTCCAACGCTCGGTCGATGTTCTCCACGGTGTCAAGCGACGGGTTGTCGATGATGTGCCTGTCTACCACGCGTCCAAACTGGGCCCAGTTTACGCGATGGTAGTCCTTGCGCAGGCTTGAAGCAGGAGCCACGTTGCAGCCCAGTTCAGCCACCACCGGTTGGTGGTCGGAGCTGAGTTCGTTCAATGCTACCGGCTTGGACAAGCCGATATTTGTCAGGAACAGGTCTAGCGTCGATGGGTTGCCAGCCGGTGAGATAAATGTTGGCTCATCCGAAAACCAAACGGAGTACAGCCCATGTTGTGAGTGGTCGAACAGCAGACGACCGTTCTGGTTCTGCTGGTAGTTCCGCCAGGCCTCATGGCGAGCATTCAGATCTCCTCCAACTACGAAGCGGGAACCGGTACGGGTGATGGTGGACAGGTCTTTTTTGAATTTAGCCGCTAGTCCACTGCTGGCGGCACACTGTCGAGGGCAGTAGACGGCGATGAACTGGACGTATCCAGTCGACGACTCCACCTCCACACCAAGGGCCTCGATGATAGAGGTGCGGATATGAGACAGAGTGTGGTATTTTATTCCTTTCTTGACGACGACCGCAACACCACCCCCCCTGGAGCTGGTGCGATCAAGCCGAATAATGTTGTGGTCAGGCAACCAGAAGCTGTCGCCGGACTTTAGATGGGTCTCTGATAGGAGGCCCACGTCGATACTATGCTTGCGGAGGAAGTCAGCAAGCTCGAACTTTTTGGCTCGTACAGAGCAAGCGTTCCACGTGACTATAGTTAACGGTTTAGACGCCATACCGAATGATAAACTTACCGAGCACTTGGATCTGTTCGGGTTTGTTGCGGCACTGACGAAGAGCGCTGGTCATGTCGACGAAAATCTTCATCAGCTCATCCGCAGAGAAGAGATCGGGATTGGCGTTTTGTGCTTCTGGTTGCCTCCAGAATCCAGGGGGGGATGGAGAGCTTTGTCCAGCTGAGGCACCAGACGTTTCTTGACGGGGGCCGAATTGCACCCGTGGATTTGCTTGACCATGTTGCGTACCACGAAGAGGTGGGAAGTCCTCCACCCTGAATGCCGGAGTGTTTTCCTTCTTCCGTCCTGGTTGGCTTCTTGTGGACGCTTGCTTTCGGATCCGCTTGAAATCCTCGCGTTTGGGACACTGTTTGTCGGACCCTTGATGAGCTCCACCACAGTTGGCGCATTTGCATGTTTCCGACTCGTCGACAACGCACTCGGAGGAAACATGATTTTGGGCGCATTTGCCACAGCGCGGATTGATGTAGCAGTTTCGGGTGCCATGCCCGAAATTCAGGCAACGCTGACACTGGGTGACGTCGTGACGGCCGCCACGGTATGGCTCCCATTGAACAATGATGAAGTTGATGGAGCGGATGGCCTTCAACGCATTGAGCGTCACCGTTCCCTTCTGGAAATGAACCAGGAAAAGGCAATCCGGGTACGTTTTCACGTTTTCGTCTCTCCTCGTCATCCGGAAGACTGCGATTGGGGCTAGCTTGTAACGGTCCTTAAGTTCTTCTTCGATCGACTTGGGGTTGAAGTTCGGTAAGCCCCTGATGACTACCTTGAAGGGCTTCTCACCGGGGATGTCATGTGTGAAGTATTCCGCCCTGGAATCCTTCAGGTACTTCACGGTTGCTTCGTACTCCGCTTTGGTACGCAGCATCACCTTGGTGCCGATCCTGCTCAGCTTGAATTCAGCTGCAACGCCCAGCGATGTGAGATCGCTAATGAGCGTGTTGAGTGGCACTTTCATCACCACCAGTGGAGGAAGCTTGACTTTTGCCGTACTCGGGACGGCAGAATTTTCATGCTCGACGGTAACGCCGAATTCACCGATGTCGCTGACGTTCGTCATGGTGTCACGGCCACTCGCACCATCGGACTTCTTCTTCCTTTTCTTCGTCCGCTTCACTTCCGCTGGTAGGGCATTCCCAACATCGGTGGGAAGAGTAGCGTACCTATTTGTGATAGGTACGCACGAGCTACCTTCACCACTATTCTCCGCTTTCTCACGGAGCTTGCTCCGGGAGCGCTGCCTTCCCATCACACGATGAAACCGGCACTACGACACGAACAAACGCGCAACTCGAACAACTCGACTGAGCGAGCCAAAACCGGACTAAACTGCTTGACTACTACACTATTCGAGCCTCAGTTGGAACCATAAATGTACATCAACTGGACTGAATGAGTGAAGTGCAAACAATCGACTGAAACCTCCTTTAAATGCCATACAGCAGCGCTCTTTTATATCTTTTCAGGTTAAAGCAGAATTATGTGCAACCAAGTGGTAAAAAAGCTACAAAGACTCCTCCCATTATGAGTAGTTTGCTATCAAGTAGCGACACTGGCTCTTTTCCTTTTGCGTACACCGCGATTGAGAACGACCCAAGTTTGAGTTTACTTCACTCATAATCGCCAAAAGTACAAGAACTCAGCGATGAGTAAATTTGTCTCATGGTTTCCTGTGGAAAACCTAAAACATCTGCCAGAAAATGAGGAAATTGATGAAAATTTTATTCAGTCTCGGAGTAGTACCAATAGACCGAGTGAATCCAATATTTACTTTTCTCAAATTCGGAAATTTTTCCCTGGAAAATCCTGGAAAAACCTGGGAAAACATGTGGCAAATTTACTCATCGCTGAGTTCCTGCACTTTATTTCTTATTTCTGAGATAACTAAACTCAAATTTGGGTCGATCTCATTCGCCGTGATATCACCTTGAAAGATATCGGCGCCGGTGGTTAGCGAGATTAATTCTCTCACCCCAGCAGGCCTGGGTCCAATCTCAGTCAGCGCCACCGGCATGTTCTAAGGCATAACATATCTGATCACGCCTTCATTCGGGAAGTAAAGCCGTTGGTCCCCGGTTGAGTTGATGGGTCGATTGGTAGGGTCCTGGTGTGGGAGCTGCCTCCCTGGCGAAAATATCCGGCCGTGGTGAATCAAAGTTGATCAAGGTTGATCAAAATAATTTGTACCCCTGCTTCCAGTTTGATTGAGTATGAGCATTTTGTGTGATCGTTGGTTCTGAATATGGACAAACAGGCAAACTGTAATAAGCTTGGTGGCCCTGAAAAGAGCCGTTTTGTTGCCAAAGTTGGTGATGATTTAACCTCCGAAACCAAACAGAGTGTCACTTCAAAACGTAGATGACATCCATGGCCGCTTACGCTTGGCGTGTTTAGTGTAGGTGACAACAGCATCACGGATCTCATTTTTCAGGAACACCTTCAGCACACCTCGTAAATCAGACCGGAGATACGTCAGACACCGCCACGGCGAGCCAGACGACGGATGGTGATTATCTCGAAGAATTTGCGTTTGGTTCTGAATATGGCGATGAGTGTGCAAAATATTACGAAATTCCATCCTCCCTATTCGCACGCGCCCGAGGATCGGAGGCGAATGCCACTTCGACTTGTTTCGTCTACTTACTACTCTCTGACGACTGTGCTGGGGAAGCAGCATATGCATGTAGGTAATTGGTGGATTTGTTAGTTAATTCGACGCTTTTGGACAATGCTGGACATTTACCAGTTTTCAATAGTTTCTTGTTGAAAATCAACATTCGAAAGCATTGTTATCGATGCGTAGCCATATTTCTGATCGATTGGTGATAAAATTATTGAAATTGGACCAGGGGCAGCTGAGTTATTAACGTTCAAAATCTTTCTTAATTTGTTACATGTTCCATTTTCGGTTTTCACAAAGTGTACCCCCATATAGAAATCAAAGACGTAGTCCTACGTCAAAACAATCAATTTTTGAACCATCCTAGCATGGAAATGGTCACCCTTATGATAAAATAACGGACTAATATTTTGCGATAAGGAGCAAAATTACCAATTTTTACGAAATTTTAAGAACCACTATATCGATTTGCTATGGAATGGCTCTATATTGAAAGCCCTCCCGATTTACTTGAAATTTTGCATTATTGTTTTTTTTTGGGTCAATAATTCACATTTGAGCTAACATTTGGCCATTTTGAATCTCGCAATTAAAAACTTCAAAAAGGCGTATTCCACATATTCCAACTAATAATAACTCGAAAACATTAGTTACAATCGAAATGACGTGTGAAACAAAGTTGTAGGGAAAAATAATTACTTTTCAGGAAAAATAAACACGGCAAAAAATGTCAACACATTTTTGGTTGCAAGTCCAATCAAAATAACACAAAATTTCCAAGTTCAAAATGTGACCATAACAAACAATTACGCAAAGTTTCATGCAAATCGAAGAAGTTCGAATCTGAAATTCATTTTTTTTTTTACTATTTGGCCCGGAAATGCTCGAAGACACGTGAGGAAACTTTTTTGATCTCGTTGAAGACTATTTCCCAAAACACCTGGCATCCCTGCTAAGAGGCCCTGGGGGTGGATGACTCGGGTGTCATCCCTTAAAATTTGGTGCTTCTAATGTATAAAAATATAACTGCATGGCTCAATTATCAATTATATATTAACAAATTTCTGCCATAATGTATGTTCTTTATTTCACCAAACTTTTACTTAACAGCATGAATACTCTCTTCCTTTTACACTAACTCAATTTAAATAAAATCAAACGATCCAAAGCAGCGAAGCTGTAAGCACTAATGAATTCCCATTGCATCCTCTCTCTTCCCTTCTCAAAGGAAATGCTCTCGCGATCGTCACTGGAAACGCAAAAATTGGAGCTAATGTCCGCCATGAGTGAACTGAAGCTGCAGCAAGCCGCCTTGGAACGGGAAAACCTGGAGCTGCGATCTAGTCTGATCAACGGAACCCCCCTCAGCAATGGCAACCACCTGAACGGGGGCATCCTCAATAGCAATACCCTGAACAACAACAACAACAACAGCAACAGCATTGCAGCTAGTCTTCTGCGACGGACCGGTCGAATGGTAACGTCCACTCCGGGCAACTCAATCAACTCGTCCCCGCTGCATCACGGTAGCCACGGTAGTCTACCGCAACAGCAAACGGCCACCTCACCTAGTCCCGTTACACCAAAAGTATGCCGTCCCGGAACGGAGTCTTCCAGAATCCGAACTTCACTAATTCAACTTTCACCCATTTCAGACGCCCCCCGCGTCCTACCGGCAGCGGGTGGACCTACACTACAGCAGTCTTCCACGGCAAGCCTTTGCCACAACGCTATCGACGGCCAGTGGTTCCAGTGCGGGCAGTTCCGGCGGCACCGACGCCAACGCCAACCTGAAGCGCAACGTAGCATTCGGTAATTGTTTGACCACCCTAGAAACCTATATCAATGCCATCAACCTTGAAGCCGAAGCAGCGGCAGCAGCTGAAGAATCTGCTTCTGCTTCCTACCTTTCAGCTAAAACTCTGGTCACCGGTGCCAATGGCGCGCCACCGAACCGACCTGCGGCTGTAAATATGTCTGCATCGATGAATGCCCTCTCGCTGTCCGCTGCGCTTGGTCAGTCCAATTTAAAATCGCTGAAACAGACGTCCGCTTCGGCGCAGAACATCTACTGTTCGGTGGAGCCATATGCTCCTTCCGGGATGATCGAATCCAAATCCGATCGATTGATCGATTTCGAGCAGGACCATTCGGAAAGGGCTACCACGGAACCGCCCCCGGGTGGGCCGGCGGACAGTTCCACGAATTCCACTCCAAAGCTGGCCGCCGCCAGCAGTCCCATTTTGGATCGAGAGTTCCACCAGCGATCCAAATCGCAGCCACAGCCTTTCTCCGTTTCCGCCGATCCACTGCAGACGATGCTGATTGGGGAGATTCGTGGATTTTCCGTGCCAAATCTAGGTTCTATGTCCCATGCCTTGAATTTTGCTGTTTGTTTCATTCTTGTTGGTCTGCCGTTTTCCCGAGGCTTTCGCGGCTGTTTTGGATAGTTTCGTTTTGCTTTTTCTCTTGTGGTCCGCCGGATGCTGGTCGCGCGGATGCTGATGCGTGTGTTCATTTGTCTTGTCGGTTGATGTTGTTTGGTTACTATTAACACATTTGGCGATACGGAACGGTACTTTTGATGATTTAGATGGTCGTTAATGTCATAGAATTTCCCTATGACCAATTGGGCAATGGATCACTCAATAGACAACTTTTACAAGGTTCAAACACCGAAAAGTAGACTTGAGATACGCCATTGTGTAATTGGTCAATGTGCTCTTAATCGTGGCACAATTCCTCTGTATAAAAACCGATCTATTGTCGTCCTTCAATGATCAAAAGTTGCGTTCGTCAAAATTAACTTGCTTGTTTCGATTTTACTCATAATTCCGGAATGATTTGAGATTTGAGCGTAACTGTTTTTGTAAACAATGACTTCAATCACCGATTTCTTGCGAATAAAAACTCAAACAAACTATACCAACTGCTAGAGGAATCACTACCCTGTCTGATTGTTTTGTTAGATTTTATTCGCGAGAAATCGGTCATTGAAATCATTGCTTACCAAAAGAGCTGCGCCCAAATCTGGAATCACTCCGGAATTTGGCTCATTCCAATCCCGATGTACTGTACTCCTTTGGCTGTCACCCCTGCAATGTACCCATCAGCGATTGCCACCGGAAGATCCAACAAATCCAAGACTGGCTCTGTCGCTAACAACAAAATTCTCCAAACCTCAAGTTGTGTTTGTTACATAATACCGCTGAACGATAATTAACACTGCATCTCGACGTCCATATCTAATACAACCAGTGCAAGTTCAAATCCACATTACCAAACCTCGTGTTGTACCGCGCTGCCGAGAGCTGAACTATCCGTCAACTAATGCAAAATGACCTTTTATTTAACCAATTTTCTGTTCTGTATAAACAGTGACCAGTTACCAACTACCCCAAACAACAGGCGACTAATCTCAGTTTAATTTTAATCCACGCAGCCGACTCGGAAACCCTGTCGAACGATCGCCTGGATGGGCAAGCTAGTCAACGTAGCTACACGCCGCAGCCTTCACCGTCGCCGTCGATGAGTCACAAAAATCTGAAAGGTTTGAGGAACATCTTCGGTAAGATCAAACGAAGCAACAGCGGTACGCTGGAGGACGTCGACCCGGGAGAGTTCAAACGAGGTGGGGTCCGTGCGACGGCCGGAGCAAGGTTGGGATGGAGTTCAGAGTTCCGACGACCGGATAAACCTTTTAAGGAGTGGGACCTGGAAGTGCTGTGCCAGTGGTTCGAGCAGATGGGACTCAGTATGTACGAGGAAGAGCTTAGACGATGGCTGAAGGTTGGTGGAGCGCCCGAACTGGTCCGAGCGTCACCCGTGGATATTGAAAAGGAGTTGAACCTGAAGAATCCACTGCACAGGAAGAAGATCGTGCTGGCGATCGCCGACCTAACCGAAAGCGTCGATGCGGATGTGTTGCTCAAGAATGCGGGCAAACTGGATACACCTTGGGTAAGTTCGACGATACTTTGATGGAGCAAAACAGTAGATAAACGTTTCTGTCGTTTGTTCCGCAGATAATTCGATGGTTGGAGGATGTAGGACTGCCGCAGTACAAGGATAGCTTTATGGCAGCCAGGATGGATGGTCGCATGCTGCACAAGCTTACCATGGATGATCTAGTCACTTTGCACGTGTCTTCCTGTGTGCATGTCGCCAGCTTACGGCGAGGCATTCAGCTGCTGCGGGAGCAAAAATGGAATCCGGATTGCTTCATTCGACGATCGATGGCCGATGAGAGCAGTGGTACCAAAGAAGACGTGCGGTTGTGGACTTGCTATCGGGTTATGGAATGGCTCCGGGCGGTGGACTTGTCCGAGTACTCACCGAACCTGCGGGGTACTGGTGTCCACGGTGCCCTAATGATGTTTGAGGTGAAATTCACCGCCGAACTGCTAGCTGAACTGCTTAGCATCCCACCGAGCAAGACACTGCTCCGGAGGCATCTGGCAACGCATTTCAAGGAACTCCTGGGAAGAGACATCATCCAAGTGAAACGAGACGCAGAGAATACGCTCGGATTCCAACCGCTGACGTTGGCTGCCAAAATCAAGGTAGAGTGTTTCCCTATTCCTACATCTGTTTGAAAAGCCTTACTCTTTCCTTCCATTGTAGACCCCAAAGAAGTCGCAGTTTTCGCTGAAGCGTAAGAAGAGCTCCAAGGGCGGGGACGAGTGGAGCGACTACGTCTGCCCGATGGGTGGTGACTCAGGTCAGGAACATCTTCCTCCCCAGCAACAACAGCAACAATCATCATCGCATCAATCACTGTCCACTGCATCCTCTTCCTCCTCCTCGGTCGCGGCGGCAGCGGCTGCGAGCTCTGCCGACACTTCCGTTGTTACTACTACCAGTGCCACTAGTGCCAGCAACTACCAGCAGCACAATCAGCATAGCTACAACTCACATGCTTCTCCCTACCGCGCTAACACTAATCCTGTCACTAGCAATGCAAGCGTGGCTGTAAGTTGTCAATCTTGTTCCTAACCTGTGGGTCAATGTGTGTATGTTGTATGATTGTGTGGTTCTGTGTTTTGGGGGGCAGATGATACAATAGATCAAGTGTTCGTAAAGCTAACCTCACTTTTAGAGAACAGTGCACGGTCCCTAACGCCACTTCTTGTATACCTTTAATTTTGTATCAGAGTAATAGGAAGTAAATAAACCACCGGAAAATGTCAAAATTTTGAGGATGAAAAGGGGATGTTGTCAAAATCCGTGCACTTAATGCATTCTGCCTTTTATATGAGAGTAAAAGCGGATAGCAACCAAGGAAGCAAAAATATCTCCAAATGACAAAATGACAAACGATCAACGAGTCGAACGATAACGCTTTGTCAGAAGTGGAATGCAATAATGATATAAACTTCTTCCTTTTTTCATGACAAGCAGCGCGTACGACACAGCTCTCTCGGAGCGGTAGAAGGAAACGATCAAATTGATGGCAAGCTGCTTCACGAAGTAAAGCCGAAGATGATACACGTGAATGTTTTTGTTATGTCTTTTCACGATTCCGATCAAGCTATGTCCTCAACCATGTATATTAGAACAAAGCTGGCTAGCAATATATCATTATCCGTCTACCACTCCGATCGAGCTTAGTAATACATACCAACAATCAATACGAAACTAACGTTTTTAAATTGGCTCACTACTTGACTAGCCTATTGGTCCCAAGCAAATCCACTAACGTACTCCATTCTAGTATGAATTCCAGTACTACACTATGTTTGTTTTGATTCGCTATGAAAGTTTGACAGATAAAATGAGGGGTTAGTGGAATTTCCTATGTTTCGAGGGGTGAATCGATCAGCTTGGGACCGAAGATAGTACCAGAGCTGAGCCAAAAAGTTGAGCACGTTTCTTCGGAACCTTCTGGTCTTAGAGTTACATCTATGGTTGTACATCATACTGCGGTCGTGTCTAGGACACAATCCTTTAATTTTCTTTAATTTTCAGAAGGGCAAATTAGGGGAAATTACTCCAATGCTGGCCTATGGATAGAGCTGGAAATAGGGCCTAACAGCTTTTGTAAACAATGGCTTTTCTCGATGATTTCTAGGAATTCAAGGCACGCCAACGCAAACCATCACAGGCATCGGGTAGGGGAAGACTTCCCATACTTGATGGTGATATTGATTTGATTGGGCGAGCCTTGAGTTTCTAGAAATCATCGAGAGAAGTCATTGTTTACAAAAGCTGTTACGGCCTAATTCCAGCTCTATCTAGAATTATCCATTCGCATTTTATTATAGGATTGTTAGATAATGCTCGTTTGGCTCATGTTTTGACAGGTCACGCTACTCGATTGGCTCAAGATGATCGCTTCCGCGAATCTCTATATCTGGAGTAACATTTGAAATGGGCCTATGTCAAAAACGTAAACAAGTCGGATTTTGATACCATTCTTTAGCACCGCTTGATAGCTACTAATCGTGTAGGAAAGTTCCGCATAATCCAAGGGGGGCGGCTCTATCTAAGATGCAGGAATTTTTTTGTTCTGCTGTTGTGAGATGCACTCGCGCTTAACAGTTAAAAACACGATTGATTATGATTATGCAGATTTTGTGCAAAAAGGTGGAGAGCGATGCGAGTAGATGGGTTTAGATGCAAGAGATGAAAAAAGATTTTTCGTAGGTTGATTCGCTATTGTGAGATTTTTTTTTACCATTTAAAATCGAGATTTAGATTTGTCGCACCCCTTGGCATAATCGAGAAAAATCATTAAAAACCATTCATTTCAAGACCAACAATTGAAATGGCCTTAACTCAATTTTGTAAAAAAAAAACCTTGTAAGGCCATTTTATCGCGAACCGAAACCTTCATTCGCAAACCTAAACCACAATCGGGTAGAGGAGAATTTTCCCTACCTGTTCATTATGTTGGTTTGCCTTTGCGGACGTCGGTTCGCGAGAAAATGGCCTTACATGGTTTGTTTACAAAATGGAGTTAAGGCCATTTCAATTGTTGGTCTTGATTTATTTCATTTCATTGATAGGCCTACCCGCATAAACGATAACCATAAAGAATGCCTAACAACCTATTCGGGTTATCATCCCAACAATATGTGGTACGGTGGCACGATTTGTGGTATCGTTCATGTATGGTGCTCGTTTATTAGGGTAGTGACGTAGAAGGGCCGATGATTGAAAATTTTCAACCAAAAGCTAGGCCCTACTGCTTGAGGTAGGGCCGATGGTTTGTTTTGAATTTATATGACGTTGCGAAAAGGCTTAGGCCACGGCCAGGGTAGACGCGACACGCGACGCGACGCGATGCGACTCACGCAAGGAATAATAATAAATAATAAGATTCTTTTGAATTGGTCGCGTCGCGTCGCGAATCGCGTCTACCCTGGCCGTACCCTTAGCAAAGGGCGTACCATTGCTGATGACAAGAACAACGGCTTAAAAAAAGGGTCTATTCATTGAAAGATTCACAAAAATGCTTATTAATTTAGGAAATTAAATTGTTATAGATTTTCATAAATTTTTTGAAAGCTTTTCGCATATTTTGGATGTTGTATACTGAGATTCAGTAACTGTTGTTATTGTGAACAATATAAATGACTAAAATGCTTCAATTTTCTTAAATATGAATTGAAAAGTGGCGGAAAAATTTAAAATTCATTTCTGGTTTGTTTACGTTTTGGACATAGGCCCATTTCAAATGTTACTCTAGATATATAGTATTACAGCGGAAATTCGTTCGTTGGGGGCCCGTTAGTTGGGTGTTCGCTAGTTGGGCCATGATCCAATTAAAAGGCATCTGGATGCCAAAATCTCATATCAAAATAGATTAGACAATCAACCATAAACTCTTCCTAGGGGTAATCATATGCGTTTTGAACTGCGCATTCAATATATTGTGTGCAAACATATGGTTTTGTCAGTGATATGGTATTTGATCGAAACATTTGAATTTAATTTAAAATTACAGAAGAAATCTAAAGCACTAATTAAGCACATCAGTATTTTGCTTTTTCCACTCAGTTTCAAGAGCAATTTGTTTCAATCTGAATTATTTTTTGTTTAATCTTTTTAACCGCAGCAGAGGACACGCATACCCCCCAACAAATTTTAGCCTTCTGTCAGTTGACTTAATTAACGAATCGAATTCGTTAGTTGGGCCGAGGTGGTGGCCCAACCAGAGAATTTCGGCTGTACTTGGTTGCTTTATGTGTTTGGATTCGCTGATAGCAACAAATAGCCTTCACTGGATCTGTCGAAGTCGTCGAAGTCCATTGGTGGACACATTTGTTTAGATTATTACATATTGCGCATTGCTAGAAACATTTAGTTTATCAGTTGTGCGCAAACGCTTATAACACTACGCTTTTACGATAAATCTTTTATCCGGTTCCGGGCAACTTATCCTTTGGCTCATAAGTAATAAGTGCGCTGAAGACACCAAAAAGATGTAATGTAGAACCATAGTTTTAGTTTAAGAAGCATATTTTTACCTGAAACAGCTCTTATTCTGCTTCTACGTTCAATGTGAAGTGATGGGTAATATTGGAGGGGGAGGAGGGGGGTGTAGAAGAGTAGAAAAACTTGGCAAAACATCATAGAAGAGCAAGGCAACTTCACAGAAGCTCGGTCAACTTTATAGAACCTCAAGGCATAGTTTAGAAGTTTTGGGAACTTTGTTTTGCTAATATGCTCAAGAAAATTCGTAGAAAGGTTAATGGTCTTCCCGGAAGTTTAGAATTTGTGGTGGATGTTCTTAGATCTTGAGATTTTTTTAAAATTTGTATAGACCGTAGACACTTGCTACCATCTTGCAACCGTGGGCCTGTCATTGAGCTCCCTTTCTAGGAGCCTCAGCGCCTTGGTGGCCAGGTCTTCGGTGACAACATTCACCAAAGGGACCTTTCCATTCTCCACCAACAGAGAAGCTATCGGTGAAGACCTCAGCGCTCCGCTACAAATTCTGTACGCCTCCAGGTTCCAGAATCTTAAGCAAGGAGACACCACCCCTGCTCCACAGTTCCGCCCCGTATAGGATGCTAGGGACAACCAGAGCCCTAGCAACCTTGGTCAATGTACTGCGAGAGGCTTCAGAGAAGCGACCATTTAGGGTCCGAAGGATATTCAACTTGTTGTTGACGTTATCCTTCACCAATTTGGCGTGCTTAACAAATCAGAGTTTGTTATCAATAGTCACACCGAGCAGTTTCATCCCGCGTACGGCCTTGACCGCATGCTCACTGATACTAACAAATGGCAGGCTCGGTCTGTGATGATGACCAAAGCAGACGTGCAACAGTTTGGACTTCTCGGGGGAAATCACAAGCCCACCACCATCTGCCCAGTCAACGACAGACTGCACTGCATCCTGCATTTTGTGCCTAACCACCCTTGCCCTGAGGGTTCGACTTCGCAGCTCCCTGCTTGGCCTTCTTTTTCTTCTTACCTTTGGGAGGTAAAAAGGGCACCTGCTGACCCTTACCAGAGTCAACAGGTGCCGTCCTAGCAGCAACCGCTGCATAGGACTTCCCGCTTCGCTCGTGGCTATACCTTCTTAGCATCCCCAAAGGAGACACCAAGGTTGGTTTTGATCCTAAGGATATCAGCTTCCTTCACGTAGGTAGGGCACCTACGGTTAGTCAGCTGATGATTGCCTCGACAATTGAAGCAGAAGGCCTTTGCTCCACATTTCTCGGCAACCGGATGGACCCCTGAACAGACCCTGCACCTGGTCTTGTTCTTGCAACCCGCGCGACCATACCCATACCCATAGCAGTTGTAACACTGCAAGGGCAAGCCGTAGTACGCTCGGGTCCTAATGCTGAGGAGACCAAACTTAACCGTTTCCGGAAAGCTGATCCCCTCGAAAGTTAACACCACGGATGAGGTGTTAACCTTTCCCTCGCCACTACCCCTGCAGATTCTGTGGACCAGGGTTACTTCCACTCACTTGCTATAAAAAAATGTTTTTCGGAATTATGAAATCATGAAATAGTATAATGAAAATTAGTACTTGTAAGTTACAAGAAGAGGTCGTGAAGTATATGCTTGACACATAAAATCTGTCAATATTGCTTTCAGTGCGTCACAGTCAGCGATTTTACGACTCGTGAGCGCTCACTCTGAGTGAACGCTCACGAATCATAAGACCGCTGAATGTGACGCCCTCAAAGCGAAATTGACAGGTTTTATGAGTCAAACATATACTTCACGACCTCTTCTTGTAACTTACAAGTACTAATTTGCATTATTCTATTTCATGATTTCATAATTCCGAAAAAACATTTTTTTATAGCAAGTGAGTGGAAGTAACCCTGCTGTGGACATCTACAACACCTTGTGTAGCAAAATGATCCTTAAGAGTCTGCTCCGATTCGTTGATGATATCAACACTTGATACCACGCAACGAACTTTATTCAAAGTAGGGTGTGCACTAGACTGATGCAAAATTTGACTTTTTCGCTCCACAGTGCTTAAATGGTTTCAAATCGGGTCCTGATTAGCCTCCCAGAGTTACAACTCATTTGGTTGGAAACAGACTTCGCACAAGCCATTTGAAGTTTACATGTAAATTAATATGGGAA